TGATGAGATTTACTCTATTACATTTTCCAGTGTGTCTAATTATGTTGCTCAGTTGACGATGAACAACCTCTTTCTCTGCCCTGTCCTAGGGTTTATCGATCATCTTTGCTTTTAGCAACCTGCACTGTCATGGTGCCTTGACACTGTCTTCTCCAGGGGACTATGTTTCTTTGTGTTCCTGACCCCAGCACAGCGCCTGAATCTTTTCAGGCTTATAAGAAGCATCTGGCCAGTCACATGATGTCAAGACAAGAACATTTTTCCAATTATGTGTAATGTGCCATCAAAAATGTGTCACTCTAATTGGGCTACTTCCAGAAATGAGGGCAGATTGTCGCACAGGCTCACCATGCACCACTACAAGCCCAGAGGAGGGCTCTAATACCTCGCCCATGGCACACCCCCATATCCACTCTCATGCAAGAGTACAGTGCAAGGGCAGGGTGGAGCTCAGTGGTAGAGGCACTTGCCTGGCATATGCCAGCCCAAGGTTGGATCCCCACACTGCAATCAATCAATAAAACCATGGTAAAGTGAAGCTAAGCACCTTTATTACGCAGGCAGCAAGAAGGGACAGCCTTAGATCCATGGCACAGGGTCCCCAGGGCTTGGGAAGGTGATTCAGGACAGGTGCAGTCTTGTGTGTGCATGGCCCGCCCTGCAGCCCAGCTAAGGGTTCCAAAGCACACTTCCCCTGGCTTTGAGCCTGGTGGTCACAGAACTCACTGGGCTAAATGTTGTGGGATGTCTTGCTCTGGTGGGGCTGGTATAAAGGGACTGGATTTCAGGTGCCTCCTACAAACACACACCTCCACCCCTCCCAGTCCCCATTCTACAAAGAGTTGGTTAAATCTCATCTTGGTGTCAATTTTACAGCCTCACCAAGCTTTTCTTTCTTCCCGAGAGTTTTGCTTCAGCTAAACTGAGCTGGCCTACCCTGGATTAAGGAAGGCATTTCTGTCTCTGGTACCTCAAATCGGCCTGCTGCTGCTATTCCAGTGGTATCTGTCTGGACCCCTCATTGAATCTGTCTGATGATTTCCACTCACTCCGGCATCTAATTCCTCGAGACTCATAAGATTGTAGAAGATCAGGGCTGGGGGCCCTGGTGGCTGGACAGTCACAGAGAAGACATTGCTCCATCTACCCTGCAGATCCCTAGGTGTGCTGGGCTGTATAAACGCTAGCAGATGTCAACTCTCTCAATTCTTTTAAAGATCTTTTTCCAAAATGTGATAATTACATCACACCAGAAAATCAAATAATCATGCAATTGATCTGGCTCGGATTTCATTTAGAATAGATGGGGACACTCCAGTAAACTTGATTTGGTTTGGCACAAGCCCTGATACTATCAGCTGCAGACCCCCAGAGGAAGTCATTCTGCATTGATTTTAAATAATTTCCATTTCAGAGGAGGCATTTATCTGACCTGATTCCCCAAATCTTGGGAAAAATTAACATAAGGACAAAGAAAAATTAGGGGCTGGGAATGTTGGGAGTCAGAGGTCTCTGTTCCCAACTCCACTGGGAAGGCAGTGCTCACAGGTCTTCCCCACTCTGAACTGAACGCTAGTGCTGTGGCGCTCACACCTTGCTGATCCATCTGGGCACCTGGAGTTTATCAGGACAGTGATGAAATGCCCTGACCCTTAGCATTTTTTAGACTTAAGGAATTGTGCACAAAATGTCCAAAATACAGTCGTACACCACATAACAACGTTTCTATCAGCATGGTTCACACACACACAGCAGGGGTCCCATAAGATTCTAACGGAGCTGAAAAACCCGGCTAGTGATATTGTAGCCCTTGCAACCTCATGGCACAGCATGTCGCCCACCTGTTTGTGGTGATGCCGGTGCAAACAAACCTCAGGTGTTCCCCGTTGTATAAAAATACAGCAATACAATTATGTACAGCATGTGATACTTGACACTGATAATAAATGACTACGTGACAGGTTTACTTATTACGTGATACTTTTGTTGCTGTTGTAGAGTACGTTCTTCCTACTTGTTAAAAACAGCACTGTGTTATGCTGGGAGGACCCTTGTCCATCTCAGGCTCACTTTTCTCCTGTGTCAAGTGGTGACATGCAATGACTGGCCTGCACACCTAGGTTGGAGGGAACACACTCTATGAAGTTTGAGCAATGATGACGTCACCTAATTGTGTATACCTCAGAAGATGTCCCTGTCATTAAGTGACACAAGTGTACATGAAGTAGCTTCCTACTAGTAAATTAAAGTGGAGCCTACGCAGACCAAGTTCCCATCCAAGAGCACATGTTCAGTGCAGGCTCGGACCAGCTCCCCAGAAAGTGGGTGAATTTGGATTGAGCAGCAGTGATGCAGCCTGGGAAAACATCCTTGGATGTCATGTGACTGTATTCCGGCAGGAAGATGGTGGCTCTTGCCCAATAATGTTGGAGCCAGTCTCTGACTGCAGATCTACCATGACAGGCCTTCCCTGGGGGCTTCCAAGGAAGTTTATTAACAAGAGTCAGGAGCCAAGGGTTAAATGGGTCAGCATCTCACTGAGTGCTGTTTGAGAGGTCAAGCAACCAGAAATCGTACAAATGATCGTTTAACTAAAAGAGGAAGTATGAAAAGCTATCTTTTCCTTACAAATGCAAAACTGTCTATAAATACAAAAAATCTTGGTGAAAGAAATGATTCTCTTCTCCTTTCAAATTCTTCTCCAAGGCCCACATCATTCAGGAAACTGTATCCAAAGGTATCATTTAGGATATTTTGGGGTGGTGGAGAACAAAAACCCTGCCTCTAATAAACTTTAAAAGGGAATGTACTGGCCCACAGAGTGAAGAATTCCAGGGGTGAACTGAGACTTTGAGCGTACTTGGTCAGGGCCCGTCTGAGCCTGGTCTCCTCTCTGTATTATTTTTTTTTTACCATGAAGTTAGCTTTCCTTATGGCAAATGGAAGCAACTATTTCAGGCTCCGATCTGCATTTAACCCAATGCAAAGCGAGGGAGGGTTTCTGGGTTTTAGAATCCCCATTAGATTCCTCTGACCATGCTCATGGGTCAGCACACTTAGGTCTGTGTGTCCACCCTGGACTCGATCAGTGAGTCCAAGAGATGGAATGCGGGGACTGGATTGACCTGGGTCTCTCCTTCTGATACTTGAACTGGGGGTAGGTGCAGCTTTCCTAGAGGCCTGTGCATCCACAAATGCAAACGAGGGGCAACTGGTTGAGGAAGGCGAAGGTGCAGGCCCAGAGGCACCGGCAAGGGAGGACTGCCAATCATCTCTGGCTAGCCTTGAGTGCTCTTCCACTCCGGCCCTTCGCTCCCATCCTGATGCATTCTGCATCCTCCTCACTGTGGGTCACGTTGTCTTGGTCCATCTGTTTTCTTCTGTTTTGTCCTCCTCTGTAGTGTCTCAAACACATGCATACTAACAAGTTAACACTTTCCTACATGTGGAAAGACAGTGGTGAGGACAATGAAAAATAGTAAAGAAGAAATATACTCAAAAGTATATCTCACCCCCTCAATGCAAAAGCTTGAGGTTTAATTTTAACCTTTATGAGGTTATAGGGATGACTGCAAGACTAGACTACATTCTGCAAATAAAAAATATATATATATGATCTGAAGAAAAATCAGAGCACAGGAAAAAAAAATTTTTTTCTCTAGCTCTGGGACATCTCCAAAAGCCAAGCTGGATGATCTTCCTGGGACAGAATAGAGTTGTTCTCATTGACTGCTGAAAGTCACTTAGAGAAATTCAGCTAATCACAGCTCCCTAAATGAAGCACGATCTTATTTCTTGGAAAACTTTGTAAGCAAGAGATAGATATTTGTAAAACATTCGAGTGAATCACATGATGTGTAAAGTAACTAAACTCCAAGGTCTCTGCTCCATCTACCAGTGAAACCTGAATCTCATGGACTCTCACACCCTTGCTGTGAGGGTGGCCAGATGCTAGGCAGACGGGCTTTCCTATAGAACAAGCTCATACAGCCATGCAGAGACACTGACTGCCAGTGGATTAGTCATTTCCTGTTCCACAATGTACCCCCCCACAAGTACCCCCAGTCTACATCACCACCACCGTTATCTCTCGGACCCCTAACCTCCACCACCAACATCACCATCTCCATCACGCACAGCATCCACCGCCATCGGCATCAACCAGACACCAACATCAACCATGAACATCATCATCAACACCAGCCTTTACCACCACCACCAATGCCAACCACTACTAACACCACCACCATCAGACCATCTGTCACCACCACAGTCACCACTGCCACTATAAGTCTTATGTTTTTATTCCCAGTTTGCTTTTCAAAATACCTTTCCAGGTCTCATTAGATACATCTCATGGTCTCATTAGATCTCATGATTGGGTTGGCAGCTCTGGCCTCATTCTCAATTTATCTGTGAATTAAGTTCCAGAGAGGTGAAGTGGTTTGTGCCTGGACACCAAAGTGGTCTGTCTGATTCTAAAGTTAATGCTTTCTTCAATGTAACACACTCTCCGTGAGACTGAAGAATTCCTAAATTCTGATGTGAACAGCTTTGGTCCTAAGTTTAATGGGACCATCTATCTCAACTCCCATATATTGCAGGTGTGCAACTAATCACTCAAAGTTTATGTGACTCCACAGAAGGTTAATCCCGCACATTTGTTCCAAATTCAGTCTTTTTCTCATGACAAGAAACTATTGATTTGCATGTACCCTGGAGTCTCCTGGATTCCTCTGGGAACACTGAAGCCCACGCCCTTCCTTGGAGCACAGAATTTGCTAGCAAAGGGGCAAATGGCCTTCTTCTGCCCACTGTCTGTTCTTCAATCATCAGAAAGCCCGAGATGGACATAGGCTGCTGGCTTCCAGTCACAGAGCCATCATCCAGCAGGCTCAGCTCAGTGATGCCTTTCTTGGTCCCAAGAACAAGGGTGTGACCTCTCTGTTAAAGTTCCAGGTAAATCCGAAGCTGATCCCTTCAGTCTTCTGCCTTCTCTCTCAGTGGATTCCCTGGGTTCCAATTTGAGGGCCACTCTTTGCACACTTTGACCCTAGGCTGGCCTGGCCGGGCTGCAGGACATCTGTGTTGCTAAGGGTCAGCGAGGAACATTTGGCCACCTTGCTCTCGAACGTTTTCTTTTTGAGCTCATACGTCAAATTTGAATAATAAATATCTTCAAAGGACTTATCATTCTTCTTGAGGATGTTGCTGGCTAACCGGAAGAAGATGATCACCCCATAGATGCCGACGATGGTGAGGATGTACCAGGCAGCACTTGTCCCCTCCAGCAGCCGCAGGAACCTGGTGGAGTTGGTGCCATTCCTCTCCTCCATGGGGTCACTCAGGAGAGAGCTGGCCTGAGTCTGGGGTGTCCCCGTGATCACTGAGAAACAAAGAGGTCCAGATGAGATGCAGCATCCTGGGCTGAGGCCCACCTGGCTGAGCCACGCCAGTGAGAGTGCTACTGTCCCCTGCAGCTGCTGAAAGGGGTGTTCTCTACAACATGGATGGGAGCCCAGAAACATGTGCGTCAATAAAGTTTTAAAAATCAAGAGTTCTCAACACCAAGTTCTTGAATAGGAGACATGAGATCATTTCTACTGTCCCCCAAAAAGTGCAGTAAAAATATCAGTAGGATTTCTTTGTGAATAGGTAAACTATTTGTATGGAAAAAATAATTGTCAAAACTAACTAGGAAAAATCTGGGAGAAAAAAGTGATGAGTGAATTAACCCAACCAGAAATTTAAAACTAGCCACCCAGAAAGTATAATTTATGTGTATAAGATCATGGCCCAGCTGCGCTTTGCACGGTGCAAAGGGGGAGGGATCCAATTCTCCCTGCAAAATCTCCCAGTGAGACTACAATAGCTAAAACAAGGTATTGTTCATACATAAGCAAAAGTCCAATGGAGCAGAGTGAAGGCACCCCCCACAGGCGAGGAACTGGGCTGAGGTAGATAATCAAGGAGTGTTTCTGATCAGGAGGGGGAAAAATGGGCTCTTAAATAAGTAGCGTTGGAGCAATAAGCTTTGGACCCACATCTCTCATCATGGGTACCAGGACAGTCCAGATAAATCAAAGAATTTCACATAAAAAAATGAAACAATGTAAAGTCTTAGGAAAAAAAAAAACACAACAGATTTTTTTCCACTTATCATCTCAGACTGGGATATCCTATCTAAGTATAACAGAAAAATGCAGAAGAGAGAAAGAAAAAGTTAAATTCAACTACATTTAATTTTTTTTAATTATTGCATAATATAAACTAAAAGACAAATGACAAATCAGAATTCATAGCACTAATTTTCTTAATGGTTCTCGGTTTGTAAGAAAAAGTCTGCAACCCTCTAGAAAAATGTGCAAAAGGGCGGACAAAGAGATCCTAGGGGAAAAGGAACCTTCAACACAATGAAAAGCTCGATATCACTCATCTACTAAAACTACAAGTTACAACCATGAGATGACGTTCTGTTACCCGTCAGGTTTGTAACTAGTGATATTTCAAAATCCACCGTGTGGATACATTGTGGGGCAATGAGGCCCCTGTGTAACCGCTGGCCTCAGCATAAAATCATGGTGTATGCAAGGCCCACCAAGGTCTACTGATATTCAAATGCATTTACCTTTGACCCAGCAATTCCACCTCTAGCAATTAATCCTAAAGGTGCTCTGGAACATGGCTGATGGAACAGTGCAGTCAGCCCACTGTACCCAGGGGTTCTGCATCCGGGGGTTCAGAGGGTCACAGATCAAAATATTCAGAAAGAAAAAACTGCACCAGCACTGAGCATGTATGGATTTAAAAAAAATTCTTTAAACAACACAATATGACAATGATTTATATAGCATTCACATTGTACTAGGTATTATAATTAATTTGGAGAGAACTTAAATTATACGCAAATATTATGCCCTTAAAGGATTTAAGCATATGCAGATTTTGGTGTCTGTTGGGGCTCTGGAAAAGTCCCCCATGGAGAGAGAGCAATGACTAGATGCTTAACATAAATCACTGCAGCCTGGTTTGTGATGACTAATGAATGATTGGGAACAGCCAGATTAGTATCCACTGAGGAATGGTTAAATTCATTTTGGAAATTCCGTGCAATGGAACCCTGTACATTCATAAAAAGGAAGATTTTAAATATTTAAATATTGATAAGTAAAAAAAAAAATAAGCTAAAGCCCATATAGTAAGCAATCAAGAGGGGAGGGGATGCATATTTTTATTTGCCCGCAGTTTATGTGCTGTGTGTTTGCTTTCTGTTGCTGTAACAGATACCTGAGATAAGTAAACTTATAAAGAAGCAAAGTCGATGAAGGAGAAAGATTAGTTTTAGCTCGCAGTTTCAGAGGTTTCCAGTTCATGGTCTCTTGGCCCCACTGTTTTGGGGTCTATGGCAAGCCACCACGTCATGGTGGGGACATGTGGAAGAGGAGGCAGGACCCCAAAATCTCCTTTAGGGCTCACCCCCAGTGACCCAAAGTCCTTCTGCAAGCCTGCACTTCCTAAATATTCCACACTCCCCAATAATACCACAGGCTGGCGACCAAGACTCTGGGGTCACTTACCTAAACCACAGCAGTACAGAGTATCTCATGGAGAAAACTCAAGAAGCCGGTACCTGTGGTTGCCTCCAGGGAAGAGAACTAACTGGAGGAAGAAGATGTACTTTTCACTGTCTGCTCTTCTGTACAGTTTGTACCATGTCCATTTATTTTAAAAAATAAATAAATCTAAAAACGAAAAAGTACAAGTGGGTGCTTTTCTGGTCTCCTTGGTAAAGTGCCCCTGGGTAAAGACATCATGTGCCCTTGTCAGATGGGAAGATTAAGATCTCAATTGCTGTTTAATTCAAAACTGTGTTCTCTACGAGGGGAGCCAGTAAACAAAAGAGAACAATGAGAACCTCAGAAATCACACATGATCCTTGGCTCACTGGCTCAGACCCCAATTCTTGCCCTCCACGATCACAGACATATTCGGAAATGTTGTAGGCTAAATCTCAACCTCTTGGGAGACCAAAGGTGCTCCATAAGTGCCTCCTAATTGGTATCTGTTTGTTGTTCATTCATTTTTCAAACGCAAGACTCAGAGATATCAGTATTTTTATGCATAGCTAGTTGTCGGGATGTGTCCATTTTTTTACACAAAAGAAACTCATTATATTAACGATTGCAATATAAAATGAGTGTAACCTTTTTCTTATAAAGAGCTAGGAGGCATCTCAGGGGATGAACACATCCTGTAGAAGAGCTGTATTATTTTGCACTTGTAATTTAAGGACATGAATAAGGAAGCAGTTCTGGAGCTGCCAGCCTTGCATTGTAACGGGACACTCACCTTCTAACGGGTTCCTGCCCTTGACTCTCCCGGAGGTGAGTTCAAATGGCCGCTGTGGGAAGCCAGAAAAAAGGTAGTCCTCCCTGCTAACCATCACAGTCCCCCGGGTAGGCAGCATGGGGTTCCTGGGCAGGGAGTAGCATGGGGGCCCAGGAGGCCGGGCAGTACCTGCAGGAAATGAGCAAGGGCGTAGATTTTCTCTTTTCAATTAACCGGAGGTTCCCGTCCGTCTGTCTTCTGTTGGCCCAGAAGGAAAGGCTCTTCCTGGCTTTGACTCATCAAAAAGGTCTAAGTCAGGATAATTTTCAAAAACTACCACAGAGGTCCTAGGTAGTCCCCGGCACTTCCAGGGCCCGTGGAGGCCTGCGGTGACAGGGAGCTGTCCTTGAGACTGGCTTGCCGCTCAGAGCCAGGGTGTCCCCTGAACCTCCCCGTCTGCACTGGCTGTAGGTGTGGCCTGTGGCCTCATCACAGGCAGGAAACTCCAGGGCGCAGTCACCAGCTTTCTCTTGGACATTCTCCTGCTGAGGACACCCAGCAGGAGGAAGCAGGCCCAGGGGACACGCTAAGGGGACAGTGGGCAGTGGGTTCATGGGCCAGACTGAGAGGCACGGCTGTCCTCTTCCTAGACCCCATAGTCACAGGCCATGTTGGATTTGGGGTAGACTTGACTGGAAAGTGCTAGAACAGGAGTCCAGGGCGGAAGTTCCCAGGAAAGGGGGAGGTGACCTCAGAAGACTGCAGTTCCAATGCAGCCATGGTGTCAGCCCCCTGCCCCCCGAATCTGCACTTGAGGACCATGCCCTGACGTAGCTGTGAGATTGTTGTTTTTTTAAGATGTTATTTGATTAAATGAAAATGTAATCATCTTAAAGGTAATCCAAATGTCTATCAACTGATAAACAGATAAATAAAATGTGGCATTTCCAACGCTATTATTCAGCGTTAAAAAGGGGCGAGGTACTAGCGCACACTACAAAGTGAACATACCTTGGCCACATGGGGAAAGAATCTGGTCAGGAAGGACCACATATTATGTGATACTATTTATATATGAAATGTCCAGAATTGTCAAATCTACGCAACAGAAAACACACCCGTGGCTGCCTGGGGTATAGGGTTTAGGGGGTAATAACAACGGGGGACAGGATTTCTTTTGAGAGCAATGAAACTTCTAAAATTGTGATACTAGTTGCACAACTCTCATTATACTAAACACCTTTCAATCTTTATTTTAAATGGGTGAATATTACAGTATGTGAATTATATCTCAATAAAACTGTTAAAAGTTATCATATAGATATACAGTAGAATACTATGCAATTATGAAAAAGAGTGGGGAAGCTGTTTGTGCACTGATGAGTAAAGACCTCCAGGGTAGATCATTAAAAGAATAAGAGCAGAGAATGATGTTGCCCCATATGTTCAACAAATGGAGAGAAATGCACATGTATCTGATTTTGCTTGTGGGCATTGAAAAACCATGGAGAGAAAGCCCAAGAAATGAAGTTCAGAGTTACCTGGGGGAGGAGAGAACAGTGGACAGACAGCAGGGGTGGGAGAGAGTTCTCACTGTATATTCTTTATGCTTCAAAGAATTTTAAATGTGCTTGTGCATGCAAGCTCGTGTGTGTGTGTGTGTGTGTGTGTTCCCTATTCAATAGCAAATACACCCAGATGTAACCAAATTAAACTTTTCTTTCGCCTCCTGCTGTCTCTTGCTCTGGGTGGACCATGTCGTTCCTGCTGTGCCCTGGGGACAGGGACTTCTGACACTGCCAAGGTGAGGTGGAAGGTTCAGAGCCCCGTGGCCCCGGATAATAAGGGGAAGATGGCCGTGACCAGGGCTGGGGGGTCAGAGGTCTCACCCCGGCTGTGCCCTTGCTGTCTGACCCTGGGCCGGTCCCCACCTCTGTAAGCCACAGTTTCATAGAGTGGAGCCTCAGCAGGATCCCACGTCCCCCTGAGGAAGGCCTGGGCTGTCTGTGGAAAAGGCCACTCCTTGAGTAGGTGTCTGAATCCACAGGGGGCGTGGGGTTAGGAGGGGGCATCCGAGTCTGGTGTGCAAGAGATGGAGGTGGAGAGAGTGTCACTGGTGGGTTTTGGCTTTCAGCTCAGAAGGTTTTCATGGGAAGTGGGGAGTGGGGAGTTCCAGAAAAATGGAGGACCCACTGGGAAAGCGGCCTTTGTGAAGCAACCAGAAAGAGGCCTTTGCGAGTCCTCCCAGCCCACACTGCGGGGACCACCAACATTGAGGAAGGTCCCATGTCAGGCACTGCCCAGCTGTCTAACGGGCACCTTCTAGAATCCTGTGAAGCAGGGGTATTATCTCTGCTTAAAGAGGGGACCCGCAGGCTCAGGGAGGTGACTGGCCTAGTGTCACATACTTCATAGATGCCAGAGGCAGGTTTCCTGACACCAAAGTCCTCCTTCCACCTCCTGAATGTCACCTTCCAGACAGACCAGAGCTTCGCACTGTGGCCTGCAGGACGAACTGTGGACGGTCTCTGGGGGTCATGCTCATACTGGTCTTGGAGACGAGAATCGGTCCTCCTCCCCCCGCCCCGTGTTGAAGAATAAACACTGCGAAACATTGTGGCAAATGCAGAAAGAAAGTTTTATTTAAGAAATGGACAGAGACACACTTCTCCAGAGAAAGTGGGGCCCCGAGCTGGACGCCCACGGGAATGGGCATGTCTTGCTCTTTTATAGACCCTCAGAATCTCACCACTTCCTCTTTCTTCTCTATGTGTGTGCGCCCAAGGGCAGGAAGGCATTGCTGTGTTGGGAAGTGCTGTCCCCAGTCCCAGGAGGTCAGCTGTTAAGAACCCAGGTCCTCATCCTCTCAACCCCCATCATTCATTAGCTACACGGACTGCCAGGACTTCCATCCCTGCCTCAGTTTGTTGAGGAATGTGGCGTTTCCTGACCCCTCAGGCCAGATGGGCTGCAGGCAGATGGCTTTTGGGCAAAGAAAGCGTGTGGGGAGTAGGTACAGTGGGCTCATTTAATCCTCTTAGCCTCATGTCCCCACCGTCTTCCATTTGTTCCCTTACAATACGCATGACCTTAGATCTCTCCCTGTTGGCCAAAACTAACCCATGAGGTTAAAAGTACGGACAATGGACAGCCTTCAGGTGAGGGTGACGGTCTGGGGGAACTCAGTCCTGGTTAAGTTCTGCACAGGATCAACCCTCAGAGCTGCTCGTCTGTGCTGTGAGCACTTTTCTGTACCCATTTATGCTTCAGTGTGAACCTCTTCCCGCTGTTTGGAAAGCCCTGATCGTCGGTGGAAACAAAGCTTAAGGTCCATAAGGAAAATGCAAATGCTATTTTCAACTGGGACTTTCCATCTGGACAGGGCCACATGGTACCTGGTCTGGGTGGGGGTAAAGATTCCAAATCATGGTCAGCGCAGGGGCTGGGCAGCCACCTGCTTCTCATGCAGCACGGGTGACACCAACTCCTTGTCCTTCACCAGTGCTTACATAACAGTGAGTGGAGCCACCTGTACCCCCAGGAGGGCCAAGAATTTTCTTCTGACCTGTGTACCTCTGGCTCAACACACTGAGACAAACATTGAGCTAAACATAATCAAGCAGAGATACTCACCAGGAAATTCTTGTCTGACTGCTGTTCTGGGAGAGAGAATTCCAGTGTCCCTTGTACTTTTGACATTAGAGACCAAATTCTCCCACAGGGCCTGGGGTTTTTCCCTTCCCCTGTCTGCCGAAGATCCACCCCCCCCTTACAAAATGCTTAAATTGGGAGTGAAGGTGGCAATGATGTGGATTTGACTCTCCAAAAATTTTTAAAAAGAAAATAAACAAGTGCTTTTGCATTTTAGGATGTTGGAACTGGAATTTTTTTTTTTTTCAGTCAACCAGTAAATCCTCATATGTACTCTGCCCTTTCTCAGGAGAATGTCATGGGAGGCAGAGCCCACCAGCCAGCCCCAGTGTCCCCCAGTGCAAAAGGACATTTGAAAAAGACAGTGAAGGAGCCCTGTGGATTGCAACCAAGATGCTTCCCTACCCTCCTCCTCCAGAAAAAGGACTCCTGAAGGTTCCAGAGGTTTCTGCCTGAGGGGAGGGGGGATCTTCCAGAAGACGTTTTAGGACATGCTTTGCAGATTCCTAAGATCTTTAATTGATGTGTGACTTTTGCCTGTCCTTCCAACGTCACCCTTCTCTTCTCCAGCCTTTAGGGACACTGAATGTCACTCTTCATCACTGGCAAGGGCACAGGAAGGCCCAGGGTCTTTAGAACTGGAAGACCCACTGATAGGCTGGCCTTTCCCACTGATTCTGTGGGACTCTGGTCAAGTCACTTCAGCTGTATAAAAAAGTGACAAGTTGTGACATGAATGATTCCACAGAGTCAACAGGGCAAACGCCATCACACCTTGCTTCTTCTCCTAGTTAATTACTTGCATTGCCACCTGCCCGGTGGCGGAACCTCCTGTGCTTCCCTCCCTCTGAAGGCCTTCTGGTTGACCAGGCCTCCCTGGCTTGGTGCGGGGTGAGCAGGGTGGCTAGTCTGGCTGCCCAACCAAGCCAAGTGGAGTCACCCTCTGCTGCTGTGGCTTCCAACTGCTCCCCAGGGACCTCTGCTGAACACCGGCCTCATGTAGTTGGCCCAGATGCTGAACATGTCTCCAGACTTCAGTGGTGTCCCCCAGGGACACTCTGGCTCGGGGTACTCTCTGCATCAAGCACACAGCAGAACAAGACGCCTCTGCTCCTCCCCCACTCCGCCCTGGGGAAGGAAGGGCCACCAGGCCACCCCACTTCCCAGCTCCCTCCACCGCTGCAGCTGCCACTGAGCAGAGCCTCAACCAAAATCCAGTCCAGACTTTTGGCTGTGACACAAGACGGCACATTAAGACTGCTCCCAGCCTAAGATGGCCGGGGCAGGGAGAGATCACACCACTCAGTGTGAAGGGCCCACAGAACAGGTGTAAGGAGCCGTGAGAGCAAAGATAAAGCTGCGTGGCTATCAAACCCACAGGGCTTGTCTGTAAGGATGTGGTCACCCTGGAGACGCCCTGGGATGCTGAGCCCCTTTTCAAGAGTGAATCAAAAGGGAGTGTCTATTGGTTCCCAGGAGCAAGGAGCAGGAAGGGCAGAGCCGACCTGAGGGGCAGATCCAGGAGCACCCGGGCTCTGCTTCTCCATCTCTGCCCTGATGGCCTCCTGCTGCAGGTGCCCAGACTCACCCTCAACAGTTCCACCACCAGCAGGAGGGCAATTCCAGGGTGTGGCTCTGACAGGCCTGAGTCAGGAGACCGCTGCGATGACCACTATAGAACTGGGATGCTGGTCAGAGATGGAGCCTCTCTGTAGCCCACGCTCAAGACAGAAGCTAACCTGTCCTAAGCCACTGACCGCCCCAGGGAGCATGGATTGAAAAGGGACAGAAATTGGGGGCATAAGCCAGGCAGGAGCTGAGGGCGTCTGAAAGACAGTAGAGGGAGAAGTCTGGAGAGAAGACGATGGACAAAGAGATTTTAGAAGACAGACTGTACAGAGCTTGATTAGTTGGTGTGGTGGGTTGAATGGCGTGTCCCTAAGAGATACGTCCACTTGGGACCTGAGAATGTGACCTTATTTGGAACAAGGGCTCTTGCATAAGTAAGTTAAGGATTCTGAAATGACAGCATCCTGGATTAGGGTGAACCCTAAATCCAATGACAAGTATCCTTATCAGAGACAGAAAAGGAGGGGACACATGGGGAAGGAGACCCGGCCAGGACAAAGGCAGACTGGAGCGATAGGGACACAAACCAAGGAATCCTGAAATCACCTGAAGTCTCAAGAGGAAAATTCCCCCCAGAATAAGTGTAGCCATTCTGGCACATGTAAGTGGACCCCAGGACTTCAGGAGAATAAGTTTTTGAAGGTTTAAGCCAACAACCTGCTGCTAATTTGTTGCAGCAGCTCTTAAGAACTAATACATTTGGATCTAAATGTAAGCTATACATCTATCATATAGGAGAGTCATTCTGAATAAAATCAGACTTGTATTGGTTCATTTATTCAAATATTCATTAAAAATGATTTATTAAGCACCTATTATGTGCCCATAAGACAGAAGTAAGTGCTGGGGATACAGAGGAGAGCAAGGTCGATTTCCTGCCTTCAGGGAGCTTCTCTCTAGTGGAAAGAGAGACAAAAAACCAAGTAAGTAAGCAAGGAAACAAACAAAAGTAATTAAAAAATGGACTTAAACCATAGGGAAACAAATGAGCTGCTAAAGTAGGGAATGAAGAGATGGAAGAGGAGATCTTTCTTTAGGAAGAATCATCAGAAAACGTGGTCAGTCTAAGCAGGAAAGCTAGTAGCTTTCTAATTTTATGTTATCTTAGATTAAGTAGCCAATAGATATGGCCTGAGCAACAGAGAATTAACTACATACAAAAAGGTACGGTTAAAAATAACCACTGCAACAAAAACCCAGCAAGTGTGGGAGAAGGTGACCAGCTTCATTAGCAGTTAGAGAAACACAAATTGCACCACACTCAGGGAGGACTCAAGGAGAAGAGGTGTCGGGGAGGCCTGGGACAGGGTGCAGCTGCTCTGGTAAGGAATACGGAGGTTTCCAAGAAAGTCAGTCCTAGAAACCCAGAGTGGTTCTGCAAACGCTCTCCAGATACCCACTTCTTGGAATCTACCCAAGAGAATTTGGAACAGCCATTCAAACAAGTACTTGCACACGAATGTTCAAAGCATCATTCACAACAGCCAAGAGGTGGGAATAACACCTGTGTTTGGGTGAAGGGAGAGATGTGAAGAGAACGTGGCGCCCTGCGCACAGTGGACAGCTGTCCGGCCATAAGAAGGCATGAAGCACTGACCGGCTGCCACATCCATCACGGAGACACACAGGTGAAGTGAGCCAGACGCAAAAGGCCACACGGAATGGCTCTATTTGCATGAAACGTCCAGAATGGATAGATCCACGGAGACAGGAAGCAGAGTCCAATGGCCAGGGAAGGGGACGGGGGAGTAGCTGCTCCATAGCGGGAGCTTAGTTTCCTTTTGGTATGATAAAAACGTTTGGATCTAGACAGAGGTGATGGTTGCCCAACATTGTGAATGTACCAAGTGTCACTAAATTACACACCCTAAAAAGGTAGATTTTATGTAATGTGACCTTCACTTAGTAAGAAGACAAACAGCCCAATAAAAAGTAGGGCAAGGAATTGAAATGATACCACCCAAGAAGATGCACCAGTGTCCAGTAAGCACGTGAAAGGACACTCAACCTCACAGTCATCAGGGAACCGCAATCCAAACCACAGTGACACATCACCCCACACCCACTAACGTGTTTATCATCCTAACAATGGACCAGGGAGAGTGCCAGCCAGGCTGTAGGAAAACAGGAACCCTCACCTCTTGCTGGTGGGAATGCGAAATGCTATGGCTACCCTGGAAAATAATTTGGCCATTTCTCAGGAGCTAAATAAATCCCTTATGACTGAGCAATTCCACTCCTGTTCATTTACCCAAGAAA